GCGTGGGCTCGGTGCAAATGCTGTGGCCGGAGACCCCTGAGCCTCACACCTCCCCCTGATGCATGAATCACCAGCATCTCCCCATGTGCCTTGCCCCCACCCTCTGCCCTCCCCAGCTCCCAAATCTGCCCCTTTTGGTTTTCTCAGCCCAAATGCAAAGGGGTGCTGCTGGGTGCTGAGAACAGGAGCACCTCATCACTGCCACCCCAGGGAGTGGCCAACCTCTCCTGAAGCCGCTCGCCCCCAGCCCAACCCCGGTCCTAAATACTAGTGCAGCCTGCCAACAGCCTCGTCCTGCCGGGGATCCTCCAGGGAGCGGGCAGCCAGGGGGTTGCTCGGTGCCCTGTCCCCAGAGCCAAGGTGGTTTAGGGGGAGGGGGGTAAGGGTTGTGCAACCCCCTCCTTGCATCCTCCTCCCCCCACGTTGGTGGGGACAGGACTGGCAGTGCCGTCCCAGCACTGGATGTGCAGCGGGGAGGGAGGCTATGTGGGATGGATTTTGGTGCTCCTGGGGCCATGGCTGAGACTCACTTTGTAGGGGGAGGTTGGGGAGGCACCCTGTGTCTCCCTCCCAGTGTCACCATGGTGGCCACATCATGAGACCACCACCGGGCCCCCAGCTGGATTGCATCCCCTGTGAGCTGACCCTCGCCATGCAAAAGCATCAGCCTTGAAAGACAAGGTCCACGGGGAGCTGCCGTCTCTCTGCCCGCTCCTATCCTGCCCTGGCAGCACGTCTCCTTTCTCTGCAGCCAAAGGCTTTCAAGTTTTGGGAAATCAAACAACAAAACAAACAAACAAACAAAAAAGCAAGAAAGAGGGAGAGAGAAGGAGGGAAGGGTCCTGGGGAAGGTGGTACTGGCCTATAACAGGAGGTTTTGCACAGGGATCGGCGAGCGGAGTTGATGGGAGACAGTGGCGACCTGTGGCCCTTGGGGTTGGCACAGGCTCCTCCTCCACCTGCCTTCTTTACCCCATTCTTCACCCCAACTTCACTGCACCATTAACCCCCCACTCTCATCAAACCGCCCCTGCTCCATCAGCCCTGCAGAGCCCGGAGGGGTCCCTCCCTTGGCCCCAGCACCCACCATGTTCCCCTCCAGCAACACAGGGGTCACCCCACTTGTGCAGGGTTTTTGGGGGGACAGATCTGCATTTGGTGGCACCCCCTTCTTTTTGGCAAGGGAAGATGCCTCACCCCCAACTCCAAACATGCCCCACTGGGTCTCTGTGGAAGTCCATCTGTGAAACTTGCCCCCAGCATAACTCTGGGAGAAATAACTGCAGGGTGTCCAGTCCTGCCCTTGATCAGGGCAAGTGTCCTGGTGAGGGGTCCACGGGGTGCTCGGGGGAGCAATGCCATGCCGTGGGAGGCTACCAGGGTGCCCAATATGTGATGGAGAGGAGCCTCCGCCGGAGCCCCTCGGTGTCGAAACCCCCTTGTCCCATCCCTGCTGGTGCTGCAGACCCCCTTTCCTCCCTGCCCAGCTCCGGCATGCTCAAAGGGGCTTCGGGGGTGCAGAAACCTTCGCCCTGAGGTCAGCCGTGTCCTTTGGGCAGTGCCGGCTGCCAGCTCCAGCCGCGGTGGTGGGATGTGGTCCCTGGTGGGTGCATGTTTTCCCACTGGGACCACAGCACCCAGACCCCACGGCTTGCTTTCCTTTCCTTCCTTCCCTTTGCTGCAGGTTCTCCTCTGAGCACCAACATCCTGGAGACCCTTGTCACGGGGAAATGAGAGGCAACAGTCCCAAAATCGAACGTAAAAATTAAAAACAACAAAAAGGTCGGGAAGGCAGCTGAGGGCTGGCCCAGCACACCTGAGTCAGTGGGTCTCCACAGCATGGTGGCTGCTGTCACTCAACAAGGAGCTGGATCCCAGGTTAAAGGCGAGGGCCTGTCGCAAGATGTTACTGCAGGGTGGCAGGAATCAGCCGTGGCAACGTGAGCAGTATCCTCAATGCAGAAGGATGGAGACCCGTGTTTTCCTACCCACGGGGAAGGCTATAAACCAGCCTTCACAAAAATCCAAGACAAAAAAAAGTGTAGGTTTGGGTTTTTTTTTCCCCTGGAGCAAACCACTTTTTTGGCTGTGAAAAAAAAAAAAAAAATCTCCATACTTGTTCTTTGTGACAGCAAAGGGCAGTGAAGAGTTTTGGCCCCGATCCCTCTGTCCCCACATAGGGATGCTTCAGTCTGGACAGCGATGGAGTATCTTCGGGGCCCTCGGCGTTGGCAGGGCCCTGATCCCGCAGGCACCGATGCTCCTCCGTAACTCTGCTCCCGTGCTTAGTCCAGCAAGTTATTATTATTTTTTGGGAGGGGGTAGCATCTCTCCCCCTGCTTACAGTTAAGCCCTCCAGATTGCAGGTTTCAAGGTGAAGTTTTGCAAGGAGGAAAAGCCACGTCCGTGCACACACACGCTCACACACACGCACACGCACGCAGGCGACAAACGCTTCCACACCTGGATGGACAACGGTCAGAGTCCCGCTTGTCCAAAAAAGATTTCTGACATCCCATTTGAGAGGAACAGGATGGAGAAGGATATCTTTCCTTTTTGGATGATTTCTTTTTGAAGTCCACGAATATTTTTTTGGGGGGGGGAGGTATTCATGCCATTGCAGGAGCTGTGTTTCCCTCCCGGCTCATCTCCAGACACGAAGCCAGCAGTCCCACTCCTCCTCCCGACGTGTCGAAATCTGCCTGGATCCGGGGTGGTCGTTTGAGACTGAAGTCAAATGAAATCGACTTGAGTGAGTCCCAGCGATGTGGGGAGGAGACTCCGGAGGACCGCAGCGAGGAGAGGGAACGCTGGTGGCCGCAAGGTTTTCTCTCAAGACCCTTTAGAAAATGACTGTCTAACCCAGGAAAAAAAAAAAAAAAAAATTAACCCGCCTGAAACCTGTACTGGAAAATCACCAGCTCGGAGAGCTTCCTACATCAGGGTGGCCTCTGCTTGCGGCAGGGGGGTGCGGGTGGCATTGGGAAGAGGCACAGACCGGCGGAACGGCCGCAGCTGATTTGTCTCTGGCTCTGTCCTTTCCTTGCTGAGTCCTTGTTGTCAAGAGGCTGCTGTAGATTCCGAGTCCTCAGTTTCTTCAGGGTTTGTTTTTCTCTTCTCTTTTTTTTTTTCTTTTCTTTTCTTTTCTTTTCTTTTCTTTTCTTTTCTTTTCTTTTCTTTTCTTTTCTTTTCTTTTCTTTTCTTTTCTTTTCTTTTCTTTTCTTTTCTTTTCTTTTCTTTTCTTTTCTTTTCTTTTCTTTTCTTTTCTTTTCTTTTCTTTTCTTTTCTTTTCTTTTCTTTTCTTTTCTTTTCTTTTCTTTTCTTTTTTCTTTTCTTTTCTTTTTCTTTTCCTTTTCTTTTCTTTTCCTTTTCTTTTCTTTTCTTTTCTTTTCTTTTCTTTTCTTTTTCTTTTCCTTTTATTTTCTTTTCCTTTTCTTTTCTCTTTTTTCTCTCTTTTCTTTTTTCTTCTTTTTTCTTTTCCTTTTATCTTTTCTCCTTTCTTTTCTCTCTTTTTGTGTTTCCTTTCCTTACTTCTTTCTTTCCCTTTCTCTTTTTTTCCTTTTCCTTCCTTTCTCTTTTTTCTTTTCCTTTCTTTTTTTCTTCTTACATGAGATGAAAGGAATCGGAGTCCCGGGGTGCGGGGAGGTGCAGAGGGGAGGGTGGAAGGGAGCTTGGGTAGGTAGTGATGGGGTGGAGGGAGGGGATGCGACTTCACTCCACGTTGCTGCTGTCGAACGCATGGCACTGCAGGTCTCCGCTCAGGTAGTCAGTCCCCGGCAGCTTCATGCCGTATTTGTCCACGCACCAACACAACCCACGCTTCCGGCCTCGGGAGGGCTTGCACTGGGGAGACACCCAAGGGCAGAGATCAAGAGCTGGCTGCCAGATGCTGCATGGCTCCCTCCCACTGGGGATCAGGATCAGCCCTGCGCTTTGCCCCTTTCACCCCAGCGATGCAATCCCCTGGGTAGGACCTAGCTCCTGCTCTCTGCTTGCAGCACATCTCCATCCCTGCTGCTACCCCAACCTGGGGCTCTCTGACTTTTCCTCCTCCCACATCAGCTCCTTCAGGATGCTCACCTCAGGCCGGACGGCACTCAGAGCCATCAGCAAGGCCACCCACCACCTGGAGATGCTCACAGCAACCTCCCCATCCGCCTAGCCGAGGAAAATCCTCCATCCTTTCCATCCAGCAGACCCTCCCTGGTGGGAAGCATCCCTCCGTGGGGCTCTTTCTTACCTGCTTCCTCTTGTAGAAGCCTTTTCGGTCACAGTTGGGGAGGTGGACGGCACGGGGGACCATCCGCTGGCTGCTCTTGAGCTCCTGCAGGGATGCCTCCATGTGCCTGCGGCAGGGGCCCTGCGAGCAGGGAGAAGATGGAACGTGAGAAGGGGAGCACCCTGCAGCAAGCCTCCAGCTGCAAATGCTCCCAGGTCCCCTGTCCCCTCCACCAGCACCCGCTCCCCAGGGGGGCAAAGCCCTCCCGCAGCCCCCTGCCCATGAGAGCCCCGCAGAGGGAAGGTGAAGGCACCCACCAGCTCAAACTCTTGCCGGAGCTCAGGGATGACGACCCGGGGGTGCGCCGTGTTCTCCGCCATGCCCACAAACTTGGCCAGGGTCAGCTTCTTCCGGCGGTCCTTCTTCAGGGCCTCAGCCTTGAGCTCGGAGAGGCGCCCGTGCTTGGGTCGGTAGGCCTTGGGTGGGTAGGTCTCCTCTGTCATTTCCGACGTGGTCGGCTCCTCATGCTCTCGGGACTCCCGTTCTGGAAGGGAAGGGGTACCAAACCATTAGGTCTCCACAAGCTGACTGGGTCTTGCTTTTGCACAGAGAGCCGCCTGTCTAACCCCAGAGGCCATCTTTGCACCAGGCAGGATAGGAATAAATGACCAAAGAAATCCCCTTTCCCAGCTGCTGCCTACAGCCCTGGCTTTATCCCATTGTGTGAGACTTAGCATGGCTTTTGTGTGACCCCTGAGCTCGGGACAGGAAGGTGTCTGAAGGCATAGAAGAGCTGGGGGTCAGGATGGACCCCTACATACAAGGCCACCATCATTTGCAGTGTCAGTGGAGAAGGACTGGTGGAAGGGTTATCCCAAACTCAGAAAGGACCAGATGACATGCAAAATGTGGCAGAGAATCCCTTCCTTAGCCATGGCGAGAGGATTAAGTGACAAATTCACACCCCATCCTGCCTTGCAGATGCAAGAGCAAAAGCCAGGGATGCTCAAAGATGAGACAACTCCAAAGTCAAGGTCAATCCCATAGGAAAGCCACCATGTGATTGGGCCGACACTTCCGCAGTGATGCCAAAGACACGGCTGACAAGTGCTGGGATCTCCAGGGTCCTCAGTCTGCAGCCCCACACTCATGGGACCGAACCAGCCCCTGTCCGCTGGCACCCACTGAGCAGCCGGCAAAGCCCAGGGTAACGCTGCCGAGTGGTGCTGCCTGACCGTAGCTGCCACCAATAGTACCGACGGCAAGGGAGGGGTGCATTTAGGCTCTGCCCATGGCAGTCACCTTCCTATACACCCCCCCGGATCGCCCCAGCGTGACCTGTGCCGGCAGGATGCAGTCAGGAGCCGTTCACAGTTATATATAGGAGAGAGCTGGTGACAGGCTAAACTTAGATGACTTGTGACATTTAGTACAGCCACCGGAGTGAAAAGGGTTATTTCTGGACTAAATTTGAATAGAGTTTAGGGCTCCTGAGGCTCCTGGTCTCCCAGTCCCTGGTTCCCAGCAGCCCTGCACTGATGCCAGGTTTGCGCTGGGGCCAGCAGGCAGGCACAGGGGAACCCACCGCGGCGGGAGGAAAAGCATCAGAGCGGCCGAAATCCCTCCCTGCACGGTGTTTCCTGCTACTTCAATGCCAGTGAACCTGACTCATCCCCTCCTGCAACCCGATGGTGAAGACAGCAGAGCACCGATTTTGCGCCTCCTTGCAACATCACTGCTGGGACAAAAGAAAAAGACTTAGGGTGAAAATAAAAGCGGATAATGCCCCCCCACACAACAAGGCAAACAGGAGTCTCCTTGCAGACTGGCTGCTCCCTGGAGCCCAGATGCACCCCCTGAGGTGGGGAGGATGGCTCTGTCCCACCGGGCTGCCCAGGGGTGCCCGGGGGATGCCCGGCGAGGGGGGACAGCCACGCTGCTCAGCGGCAGATGGCAGCACCGGCCTGTCACGCACCCCAGCAGGGTGGCCTGGGAGGAGGCTGAGGGGACCGGCTGGCGCC